GCCATGGGGCACCACGCACCCTGATGGAGAGGGACCAGGGGCACAGCCGGCCTTAGCCCCCGCCTTGGCTGGTCCAGCACCGTAAGAAATGGGAGCGGGATAACTGGGTGGCAAAAACCCCTGCAGCTGGTCCCTGGGGAAGGCAGGGACGTGGGGGGAGGGTGTTGGGGTTGGGAAGCAAGTCACCGTCCCAGCCGTGCACCGCTGCGGTGTCACCAGGAGGTGGCACGGCACGAGCGGGGAAGCTCAGCTCCTGGTCCAGCTCCTGGGAGCGAAGGGAGGGGTCGGGGCAGTTCCAGGAAAGAGAAGCAAAGCCTCGCATCTTCTTTCTCGGAAAACTATTGTGCAAAATCCTTTCGCACGGGGAAAACAAAAAACAAACGGCACAAACCCCACATTTTGTTTGGAGAGGAGGGAAAAACTGAGCACATTCCCTCCCCTCCTCGAGAACATGCGGCTGTCAGGACATCAGCTGTCTTGTGTCCCCACGGCCTTTCTGCGTGAGCAGAGCCTCCGCTGACTCCTGTTCCTCTGTCCGGTGCCCTCCTTCGCTGCTCCAGCGTCCCATCTGTCAGCACATTCCTCAAGGAAACTTCATTTATGGCTTCGGTGACATTCATAGCCAGCAGCAAGCAAAGGTTCTGCCTGCAAAAACAGACCCAGCAGCAGCGCAACGTCTGCAGGTCTCGGTGGCCAAGCGAGGACAGCTGGTGGCCCGTGAGCCTCCCACCCACGGGTCTCGATCTGCTGATTCCCAGATGAGATCAAATGCACTTTCCCCACTGGGCGTGTTTAGCCTATCTTGCCTTGCAGGACCACTCTTTGGGCACCCATGCCTGAGCTGATACAGCTGGAAATGGCAAGCCAGTGTATTTTTCGAAAGACTGGCAATTTTCCCATGCTAGCAAAGGCAGAAGAGAGGATGTAGAATGAAGAGGTCAGGGGCAACGGGCACAAAATGAAGCTGAGGAAGACCTTCTTCACTCTGAGGGTGATGGAGCCCTGGCTGCCCAGGGAGGTTGTGGAGTCTCCTTCTCTGGAGATATTCCAGACCCGCCTGGACGCGGTGCTGTGCAGCCTGCTCTGGGTGACCCTGCTTGGGCAGGAGGTTGGGTTGGGTGACCCACAGAGGGCCCTTCCAACCCCTACTGCTCTGTGATTCTGTGATTACAGACCCCCCATTACAAGATTTTCTTTCAGTGAAACACTGACCTACAGCACGGCTGCTAGACATGCTGCATTCCAAGAAAATTATTCTCTGTATTTCACTAGAACAGGCGATTTTGACATACATTGCCATTGTTGGTAAACCATATACCATACCTCTTAGCCCATGCCCAGCTTGTAACCTAAAAGAGGTGATTTCTTCCCAGAAAAGAGTTCCTTCTCTCCCAACTTTCCCTTCTCGGTTTTACATATCAAAAATTAACTGAAGCAATTAGCAGTGACTTAATGGGGTCCCAAGAGACCAGGGACCAAGCATCTCCTTTGGCTGCTTGTTGCGGCCCTTTGAGTGTGGGAGCACAAGGACAGGGCAAGCACCTACTGCTATGTCCTCAGCACGGGGAGGATCGGGGGTCCCCAAGCTGGAGGGACTTTAGCAGCTCCCCATGGGTGGCTTTTTCTTGTATGAATTCGTCCAGGTGCATTTGAAAGCCAGCTCAAATTTTAGCTTTCACAGCACCCTCATGGAAGCAGCTGACTTTCTGTCATGCCCTCCAATCTCAGGCTGGAAGAGTCAGTGCAGGACATGGAGGGCATGGGGGGGACACGATGCTGCTGCTCACTATGTCCCCCTCTGTTTATCCCTGTAACTGCTACAGCCAATCTTCCAGAAAAGCCCCAGGATGGTAGATAGATGTTCCACAAATGCAAGAAATCAGATGTAGAAGATGTTGTGCAATGATTTGCTCACCGGAACGCATTTCTCGCTTCTCAGTCCCTTGTGAGAGGCAATTACAAATCCCCATGTGAGATGCGGTGTAGCTCTGCTACAGAATGTTGGCAGGAGTATGCTGTCTTATCCTGAAACAGAAAAAAACATAACAGTTTCAAGGCCAGTTATTTTTCAAATTAAAGGAAAAAAAACCCAAAAAATTTGTTTCTTTTTGTTCCTTCTAAATTCCTATGTGGCATCCTGAAAACCCTTTAGAGGATTTGCATTTAGAACATGAAATGGATTTCTCACAGTGAGGCCAAAGAAAACCAAAGTGCGTGGGTGGAGGAAGCTGTGGCCCCATGCCAGCAGCCAGCGCCAGCAAGGAGATGTCCTCAGCTGCCTGAGGTGAGGCCGAGCACGCCCTCAAATCCTCTTCACATCCTGCGGCACTTGCTTTAAAGATAGATAATAGATGTTTGCTGGAACTGGGAACACAGGGAACATTTCCAGTAGCCCCGTGCAGACCTTGCCTCTTAGTCCATCTGTGGACACCGTATTTAAACAGCTGAAGAAACCCAAAAAAGACCATTTACAGCTCAATCCCGACAGTACTACCTCCCTTCACGGCAGTGAATTGCTGCCATCGATTACCTCCACGGAGGCTTGCTGAGCCTGATCTGTGGTTGTTGGAGGCTGGGATCCCTCTGGGGTCTGGGGCAGGCTAACTGTGGGCAAAACCAGCTTCATTCAAATGCCTGGATGGGAAGGAAGATGTCTTAGGTCATCTTGGTGGGTTTTGCGGTGGAGGAGCTGATGGCTGGGCCAGTTCCCAGCTCTCTAGGCTTTGGGATGTGGAGTGAGAAGACTACTGCAAAGAAGGAGGTTGCTCAAAGCGAGGGTCAGGCTGGTGTGGCCACCTGCAAGAGAGCTGATTATAGGCATCATAGGTTCCTACAGCTGCATCCGTTTACCTGGAGAGACGAGATTGTTGATGGTAGTGACAATTCTTCCAGCAAACCCATGGTGTTTTACTGCCACAACAAGACAGAAGAACCTGTTCCAGCTTGCCTCAAATCCATGGGAAGGTTTGGCCTTCAGCATCTGGGCTCCCGCTGACATCCATCAACCATCTCTGACCCATCCCAAGACCTCCCCAGGGACATTAATTACTGGACTAGATGACTTCTGATATTTTCAAATAGCCAAAATTCATTCGGCAGAGCATAAGACCCTGCAGGAAGGATGTATTCGGTCCCCACGCCGGTGGCATCCACCAAGACCACAGACACACAGGCGTGTTTCTAACTCAGCTGCTGCACAGCCCATGTCCTTCCTTACCTGTGCATAGAAAACCATCTGATGTCTGTGCCAGGATGAAGATGCACAGGGATGAACTGGACACCTCCACTTTGCCTAGAACACAAGTTCATGAACTTCTGTTGTCATTCAGGCATGATCTAATTGAAACATCGTGACTTACACAATCATCTCTTTCTCTGCCTCTTTCTTCCACTCTTAAAACATTTCCTGCTTTTTCCAGCTGGACAAGCTGTCCTTCTGCCTGCTTTGAAGTAAATATTTTGTTGGGCTTGGCTGCTGTCACAGCCACACATAGTCTTCTGCCTGATATTTTATCCATCTGCTGCTAAAGCACTGGAGAATATTTTGAGCTGAGAGTCTCAAAAGGGTTTTGAGGTTCTGAGTAGAATTAAGGAGTACTGGTGCAAGAGAAAAAATCTTCTCAGCTTTCACATGCATAGTAATTCCAGTTGAAATGCCTTAAAGATTAAATACTCTGAGTGATGCTTGTCATGACATCGTGGTACTCTTGCTGCAAACTGGAGAGCGTACACTGGTTCACATTAGCCAAGGACCTGACACACCCTGCTCACCCCTCCGCGGTTCACATGCTGAGATGTAATCCAACACTGATTTCCTCTTCTGTCTCAAGCGAATGGAAAAAGAGAATTGGATTTCCATGTCTTCAAGGTTGCCAACATCTGCCTTGCCTCATTTCTTCTGCTTGAAGAACATCTGCCTGTGCTCTGGGACAGCCACACGTGGCCCGTTGTGTTGCATGGGAATGGGCTGCGCTCGCTGTGACAAAGCCTCTCGTGGGTTTGCTGGCCGGAGCTCGCTGCCCTCGCAGCGTTGCCGCGAGCTGGGCACGGGAGACCGCCTGCTCGTGGTGCTTTTCTTCTGGAGCAGACACTGATAACTTGCTGTTTGATGCTGGTTCTCTCTCCTATATTTTTTTCCAGGGCTCCTCTGAAGAAAGGATGGGTTTAGATCAGTTGAGCTATAAGATCTGGAGGTACCTGCCTGGGAAAAAGCGTATGTGTGCGCGGCACTGCTGCTGTGAAGGGGGGAATGCAGGAGGGGCTGCGAGGAGCTGCACAGGGCTGGGGCACATGGACTTGACCCCGCGGGATGTCTGCATGGTGGGACACCATAGCCCTGCTACAGGTTTCCTGCAGGACACCAGCTCTTTGCTTAACATCGCTGAGCTCTGCCCTCCTCCTACTCTGCAGAAGTTTGTCTCATAGCTATTTTGAAGCTTGCATCACTGCTTTTTTGTGAAGTTCCTTGAAATTCTCAGAAATACCACTTTTTGTTCTTGTTGCTGACTTGCCCTTAAGGGGAGTTTCTTAAGTAGCATTTGAACTAGGCAACATTCATATCTGTATCACAGCTGCGCGAGGAAAAGGAGATCTAGAAAGCCCTGTCATTCCAGTCCGGATGCTTTTAAAGTCCCTCTTTTCTCCCTGGAACACTGCAGGGTGAAAAGCTGTCCCCGAGCTCCCAACCCTCAAGCACACATGTGCCTTTTTGTCCCCAGTCTCCAGCACTCAAAAACTACCATCTGGCACCTTTTTTCTCACCCAAGCTGAAAGATGTGGGCTGCTCCGTGTTGTCGCTCGGGGATGCCCCTTTGGGACAGGGTGCTTGGGGACCAGCGCTGGAGGCAGCTGGTGGTCAATGGCCCTTTGTGTGCTTTGTTGCTTTGCTCCATAAAGAGGGCATTCTTAAACCTAGTAAATAAGAATCTCCCTGTTAATAAGACTAAATTATTGCATAAGTTACTTCAGGGAATGTGCAGCATCCACAGCAGGTGCCTCACCTGCTTTGTGCTGGGAAGATGGATGCATCCTGCAGCTCGGCCAACACGCTCTGGTTCAGGTTTATCAGCAAAGACACCGTGTGCGTGGAGGGCTTGTGCTCTGCTGGAAAACAAGGAGAATAATCAAAATCTTCGGCCAGTTTCGGAGCTGGTTTGTGTGCAGGGTGCTTTCCGATGGGCTGCTGTCAGCCCTGGCTCTCAAAGAGCAGGTAGAGCGATTGCAGCTGCGGGGCAATGCTTTGCCCCCACAGCCCTTCAGATTGGGGCAGGGGAAAGAGGGAGGCGGAGGTGACCTCTGAAGGAAATATTTAAGAAGCCAGTTCATTTCCAGGAAATCTCTCTCTTGTTCCTTTTTTTTTTTTTTAATAGAAAAGCTAAGTCCCCATGAACTTTTTGAGAACTTTTGTTCATTCCCTTTTGCCAGCTAAGCTCTGCTTTGTGCTGGTGACAGAAGCCCTTTCTCTAAGCACTGGCCACAGGCCAGGACCTGGAAATCTTGACTGTGTGCCGGCAATGTCACAAGCCTGATCCCCTTTCCCTCCAGGCTGATGCAAAACCCAGCTCCAACCAGCTCACCTTTTGGGGGACTCTCTGTGGTCTTCTTCCATCTCCTCCTTGTGCAGGAGATGATGGAGCCGGCTCTGCTTGCTTCATTTTCCATGGAAACAGAAAGCACCAAATATCATGGAGAATAATCTGCCAAACTCGTGACAGCAGCGGGTGAAGTGGGTTGGTGGTAGTTACTCAGAAGAAACAACTGTGCAAGGGGTGTTGGAGGCCATAGCCAAGGCAGGAGATGCTCTTCACCCCAGGCAAAGAAATGCAGTTGCCACGAGAAGATTTCACACCTCAGTCCTGCTCTCTGCTTTCTTGTCTTCCCTGCATCCCAGTGCACTCCTCTTCCCTTCTTCAGCTCCCAGAGATGCTCTTGCTGGGACAGGATTAATTTGCTGGGGCTTTTATTGCTGTTTGCCTCTCTACCTCATTCAAAGACCTCCGGAGGGACCCGGTGCCCTTGTTCCATGTGGTAGAAAAGACATTTCCTGGTTAAAGAAGTGAGGGTCTGTGCGTAAGAGCAGAGATATGGAGGGCAGAGGAGAGGGAACCCAGTGTATTTTACAAGCCCACTCAAACCAGCAGCCACCACAGCAGAGGGGCCCCTCTCACCAGCAGCATCTCTAGAGGAGCCAACCACAAACCGCTGATGAAAAAAATCCAGTAGGAATGGATCATATAAACTTCCATTATACCACTGCTGCTTGTATCCCCAGGGCACTAAATCAAACTCTTCCCTATCGCTGAGTTCCCATTTCTCGGAGCTGAGTGTATGAACAGGTGACCAAGATGTTCGGTGGTTTCACTTACCCATCTCCCAGGGGCGAGGAGTAGAAACAGAGCTGTTGTGCAACCAGGAGGGAAGTAATCAAGATCTCTCTAAATATGTGTCCTCCAACTGCCAAAATATGTTTTGAAGCAAGTGGGGAACATACACCAGCAGTGATTGCAATACAGCCACCAATGCAGATTAGATAAAGAGAATGGGACCAAGTATTTTCTGTGAGAGTTTCAGCCTTGGCAAACAAGCTGAGCACAGGGCTAAAGTGTGCCCAAGTTGTCAGGAGGAAAATCCTCTCTCTTATCTTTACACCAGAGAAAACAAATTCCTCCAAAGAGCTGACTAACGGAACTGCTGACAGGAAGAGCATGAAGGATTTATCAGATCAGAAATGGGAACGATGTACATAATATTTGCTTGTATTTAATATATATTGAAACTCTCTGCAAGACAGTCGCAGAGCACCACATGATTTCCTATATCGTGTTGCTGAGACAATTATTACTGTATGAGAAGACGAAAGACACTAAGAAGATGAGTTTCAGGTTTTGGACCTGCACTTTGAGTATCCATAATGAACCTTTAAAAATCTACTGGGTTTCAAAGAGCGTGTTTGCTCCTGGAGTCAGCACCACCAGCTCCTGTGAAGTCTGCCTGGCTCCTGACCTCAGCAACACTGTATAGCCTTCCTGGGAGATCCGAGCAACCTGATGGAGTCACCCAGAGCAAGTTAACTCCAATCTGGACCTTGGTGGTGCTGGGGCATCTGTGGACCATCGCCAGCTTTGACGTGGGGCATCTTCATTGGCCAATGCAGCAAAAAAATTGAAGCCATTAGGAAGTACAAGGCTAATTTTCAAAAATGTAGAGCAGCTCTGGAAGGAAGGGAGGGAGGGAGGGAGGGATGGATGCCGTGAGATGGCAGGACAGGCAGCAGCTTTGCTTTCCAGGAGGATCAGGAGGAGTTCCAGTCTGTATCCTTTCCAAAAGCTCCACTAATGCCTCGGCACCTCCAGTTTTCATGGATGGGATTTCTGTGCTGCTGCCATAACTCTTGCTGGGCTTTGTATGTTCAGTACTTTGCTGTCAAAGGTTGTGCCAGAGAAGCATGACCCCCTGTCAACGCTCTCTTTCTGCTGTCCTACCCTCTGGCAGCTCATCAGGTTCCCCTCTGCTAGCACAAACTAACAGCAGAGACCGTAACAAGCTGCTGAAAGGAAGCTGCTGTTCAGGGCTGATGGGAAACACTCAAAATTTGATTACAAAACAGAAAATACGAGTGGTGCCTGGGGGGGGAGCAGCTGGTTTCCAGCGGGAAGGGTGACAACCACTCGCCCCAGCATGGAGGGAGGGCAGGGGTGAGCATGCTTGTTGAGCCATGCTGCTGGAGATAGTAAACATGAGAGACTACAACTGCCTGGCCAGCAGCCCTGAGCCATCTGCAGCCACCTCCATCCCCAGGGGAAGGAGTTTGAGCATGCTCAGCTGTTGCTGATGGTCCCAAGCTATGACAACAAGATGAGGGTGTAGCTGTGGTTTCTATAGAGACATTTTATTGGAAGCGAATAAAAATAGAGTGCAAATTTCAATGAGATGTGTTGAAAGACATCGCAGGCAAATAGTTCCACACATTGGTGGGAGACAAGCCCAGAAGTCTGGAGGCGTTTCCACATTCCCTGATGCACCCAGATCTGCTGACCAAAGCAGAGCCTCGATCCCCAGAGACAAGTTCTACGACACTTCTTTCTGCAAACCTTTCTGTCCTTCTGCTGCCTTCTGCTCTGCTTGATGAGCTTTTACTAGTGTGGGCACTGGTTCATCAACCAGCCATTGGGCATGCAAGGTGGGGTAGGGCTCAGTGTAGACACCTGCAGAGTCCAGCTGAAATGCCTTCTGCATCGGAGAGGAGCCCTCTGCTGATGCTCGCTGGAAAGACAGAGCCTGTTCCTCGTCTTCCTGGTACGCTGATAATGATAGTAAATATGTGCAGTATCACATCAGTTGGGTTAATACTGAGTAAAGTGTAAATGAGCATCTTTGGTCTTTAACAGTCCTCCTGCGGAAGTTGCTTCCATTCATAAGTCCCATCCAAAGTCAGATCAAAATTATCCGTTTCCTGCTTTCAGGAGAGTTCCAGAAACAGCTGAAATATTGGCAAGAAAAAGCTCTGATTCTTTCTCGGACATTCACTAGACACTGTGATGCACCTTTACAGGAGGTACAGCTCTGCAGCTCTTAGAAGAGGTATGTGAAGTAGCTTCATGTGGAGAGCACATAAGCAGTAGCTGAGACTCCCGTGTGCTTCAGCATAACCTGCTAAGAGGCACCAGCTCCCCACAGGTGTATCCACAGAGTAGGTTTTACCTAGCAATTGATTGACATCAGCACTCCTCATCTTAGCCACCGGCCTTGTACAAGCAGCAATAACCTGCTGCTTCAGGAGCAACCGTGGAGGCTGGGCATGGGCATCTGCCAAGGGCGTCAATCCCTGGGTCATGCGGTGTGCCTGTCCTGGGTGAGTGGAGTCAGGGACAAAAGCTTTGCCTAGGTTTGTTCCCACCGTGCTAAATCCCAGCAGTGAAAAAACCCAAACAGACCCCCATATAGACATTCTGAGCTGTTTATCCCTCTCCAACTGAGATCCTGCGTCTGGCCATCACATTGGCAAATTTTTAGGGATGAGGTGGCATTTTTAGGGATGAGGTGGTGTTGGAACCACTGTACATCCCATGTTTTATAGTTACCACTCCTGACGTGCTGCACTTGGGAAAATCCTCAAGATCTCAGCATGGAGAAGATCAGCGCGCTCTTGATGCTTGACCTTAATTTCCAGTAGATAACCTTTCCCAAACATGTTCTTCAGGTACTGAATGGAGCCAATGCACCTGCAGGGAAGGGAGGGAAAAATAGAGATGTTGGTGTGAAACCATTGGTGCCCAACTGTCTGCTCCTTCCCACACTGTACTGCTGGCAAAACCATGGGGAGCACTTTATACGGCCCATGGTGATGGGCTCAGGTTGGTGAGGCTGGAGGAGAAGCCTCTGTTGCTGTATGGACTCTTCCCAGCTCAGCCATGTGCCGGCAGTGCTGCTGCCCACCGTATCTGCCAGGACACCATAATGGCCACGTGGTTGCACACCGCCTCTGCCTCCTCCATGTAGTGCATCTTCAGGATGGCTCCCGTCTGCTTGGCTTTCAAGGCAGCACGAATCATCTTCCTGAGGAACAGAGCAGGAGTTACAAAAAAAAATCTAACAAACCCTAGGAGTATCAGACTATTTTTCTATACCGTTGTGCCTCCAAATGTCTCTGCCCTAAAACAAGTATAAAAACTTTACAAATAGCAACTTTAGACCAATGTGCACAGAGTAATACTTTGTAATAATGACAAAAAGAAATGTATTTGACTCAGGCCCATTATGGACACAGCTAGGTCCCTCCACTCACAGAGGGGGTTTTTCATTTGTGCTACGAGCATTGCAGTGCCCATTGTAGGTAAAACAAAACACACCTTTCTGCTTTTCCCAGCAGATATTTTTTTTTTTTTTTAAATAGTCTTGAAGCTGCAGAGCATTCACTATTCTGTGGGGAAAGGGAACAAATGAAAAAAAAAAGAACACTGTTGTTATTCCCAACTCAATACTCTCATCAAGCATTCCAAAAACAGTAAGAAAAAGGAACTTTCTTCCCCTCACTCTTGACTCCTGCTTGTTTTCATTAAACATTTATTGTGTTATTGAAATACAAGTGAATATTTGAAGCAAAGTGTAGTGAATAAGCCACAAGCACTTTTCTAAACCTGTCATTAGTGTCAACAGCATTATAAATCCATTCCACCTTGCCAGTGTCAGCTGTGCAGACAGTACTGAAGCTCCCTTTCTTGTAGTGCCAAAATGTAACGTCAAACATTTTAGAAATGGTTCCTAAAGATAACATACTTAAAAGGACATTAGTGGTAAATTTATCCCCACTAAATGCACTTAGGCAAATTGGAGATTTTCTTAACCCACTCACTTAATCACGGCATTTAGCACAAAACTTCTTTTGCAACTCCATTTCCTGAGTTTCTTTCAAGGTTGCCTCTGGCTCACAGTGAATTTTGACTTTCTGGTCCCCACCCCATGCCCTAGGACTAGGTGATAAAACATTGAACAACCCTTGGAAACACCCTCCATCCGTACCTGTTGACAGCAGCAGCCGTATCCTCCTTGGACACCCCTTTCATGGTCACATAGACCTGCAGGTGCTCGTGCACAGTGAGGTCCGGCCAGAGCGAGTCCTCCTGCGGGCAGTACCTCAGGAAGGCGGATGTGTGGTCCTGGAGGTGGAAGGTTGCTCCATCTCCCCTCTTCATCAGCACCTGCACAACCAGGCTGATTGTTTTGCTCTCACACATCCTTGCTCAGATACAAGAATGTGGTTCAGAGGAAGACTATGGGCTTCATTGGGATTTAGGTGAGGAAACCCAAAGAGCAAGGGAGTGATTTTGCAGCCCTCATTTACGTGTTTTCTAAACATGGCCAATTAGGGTAGACACAAATGCTTGTCCAAATTAGAAGTACCTTACAATGTTTTTGATTAATACATTATTTAATTTAATAGCGCAATGCATTCAGTTAGAACTTTGTTCCCTAGTAGTGCTTTGAAAAAAGTTATGGCTTAGCCTAGGTGCAAGGTTTGCACTTGCACATATGTCATGGATCTTTCCCTTTTCTCCAGATGCCTCCTACCTTCCCAGCAGTCAGTGTTGTCTCTCCAGTAACCATTTTGATAGCTGTGCTTCTACCAGCTCCGTTGGGCCCCAGAAGTCCTAATACTTCTCCTGGAATCAATACACATGATTTCTTAGTAATACTTCCCATTCAACAAGTATATCAGGCACAGTCCCACCAAAGAAAAATATAAAAGACCATGCTAATATCAAAGATCATACAAAAGTGAACAGGATAAATATATGCTCTGAGAGCCCATAATGTTTCAAATCTCACTGAAGCTGCATTGCTCCCAGGTGTCTCAGAAGCCACTGCTGCAGTGGATCCTGGAGAGAGGGGGCTACGTTGTTTTAGATAATGGAGAGTCAAAGGTAACTAATGGGATGCATTCATGTCATGTTGTTCATTAACACATCAACCACAGACCGGTCATGCCTTAACCACAGGGCAAATAGATTTGACCTTTATGTCCCTGTTTAGATGACTGAGAATCCATAGAGAATTAACTCTCTGGGTATGATCGGAGGCCCAAAACAGGTCTACAAGAACAGATCCAATTCTCACCTTTTTTAACACAGAAGGAAACATTTTTGGTGGCTATTTTCTTCTTCTTCTTAAAAACTGAACCAGCTTGCTTTATTTTATATTCCTTGCAAAGATTGCTGACAATAATGACTGATTTCTGAAAGCAAGGAGGAAGAAGAAAGATTAGTCTACTACACTGGATAGCATTAATCCTTCAATAATATCTTTCCATTTAAAAAGGCAGAAAACCTTCTAAAGCTCTTTGAATTTGTTTTATAGTTCACTGAGAATATGAGGTGCAACAGGACACTTCAGCGTCCACATCCTCTCAACAACTTTCTTCTCTATCCTGATGGGACCTGCACTGTACATTCAGGAGTTTGATTTTCCCAGTGAGAATGATACAGCCAGAGAACTGACCTGCATTTATTGATAATTGGTGGTTTGGTTTTTACCAATGGGCTTCTTACTGGTAGAAAATAAAACGAGAAAGACAACACTCAGTCGTACCTCCCCCTGACTCAGCGTCGCTATGGCAAAAGAAAGGTGGGTTTACAGGTACAGACAGCCCAATATGTCTTCCCATTAAAATCTGGTGCTTTACTGAGACCTTAAACAGATTTTAAAACTATTTTCTAACACCTTCTGGCTGCCAGGCGCTGACACTTACACTACTCTACTGGAAGTAGAGCATTAACTTGACTCCACATTAGTGGGCCCTTACTGGAGTATGGTGCCTGGTTTGAGGATCTCACGATCTGAAAATGAAGAAATTGTTTTGGTAGAGGTCTGGATTTGGGGCAGGGAAAGAACTGAGTCCCTTCTAATCCCATCTGCTGCAATATCCTTTTTCACATTGCACCAGGATCTCACCAGCTGCTGAAGCCAAAGTAGGTTTCATTTACAACCCCTTAAAAATGACAATTTCCTTGCTCTTCTGTCACTAAAACTCTCATCGTCCCTTGGTTCCTCTCCATCCTACAACTATCTGCTCTTTCCACTTCTTTTCCTTTGCAACAGCAAGAAGCCCCAGAATAGGAAAGGACGCGGAAAGGTTCATTTCCCTCACCCGTGTCGTTGTGGACCAGGAGGCTGGTTGTCTCTGAGCTAGCCCTCTTCCCCAGGGGCAAGAGGTACCGTGCAGATGAGAGCTCCCAAGTACTCCCACTCTGCCAGGCAGCAACCAGGGACAGTTGCAAAACCAGAGGAAGCAGAAAAACCACATAGGGCAGCAAACTACATCAGGAAAGAGATGAATAAACACGCTGAAAACAGATATTCAGCAGAATGCGTTTGTGTATTGGGAATGGTACACTATATTCAGATTACTCAACACTTCTTCTGTTAAAAAATTTTGGCGTTTTTATTTTCAGAAGTCTCAAACCTTGATCCTTCATAAAGGCCCTCAAAATTTAGCAGAGAGACAACCTCAGATTGGGAGTGCTCAACTTTTTAGGGCCATGAAATGCTTTTCAGACTTCCTTAAGATACAAGTTTTTCATAAATCAGCACCTCATTTCTTTTTCTTGTGCTCCAGGAAATGCCAGCATGCCAGACTGAAAACCAATGGGGCCAAATGAGTTCAGACACTGGAAACATGAGAGAAGTTTAAAAAAATTGAAGAGGAAGTCTGAAAGTAGTGTTTTTCTCTCCTCTCTCTGTACACACTAGCTTATTTTGAAACTTCCTCCTCCCTCTGAAATAAAAGTGTTTCTAAAAGATTCTTTTCTTCAGAAAGAAAATGGGTTTCCTTTGCATAAATCACTCAGCATAGAAATGAAAATGCATGAAAGGGAAATTTTCTGTTACTGGCATTGGAAAGGAAGAAGCACTCCTCTCCTCTGAGTGCAGATTTCCAAGATCATTCGTAGCCAAGAGCTGATATCAATTAATCCAAACACTCATCCAAATAGGGGTGCGAAAATTGTCCCCCGCTGCTGTGACTGTGTCCAGTTCCAGCTCTGCAAGAGAAAAATCACTTTGGTACATAAATTGACTACAGGTTTTTCACCGACCTCTTCAGTTTTAAGAAGCGCACCCATGCCATGGCAGAGACCTGCTGCCTCCAGAGAGCCAAGCCGTCGACTGCCACTTTCCTGGTGTCCGAGAGCAACAGGGAGCCCAGCTCCATCCGGGCATTGTGGTCCTGCTTCTGCCCACTCCTCCCCAAAGACGCGCTCATCTGCAGAGAGTTTTGCACGTGCACATTGATGTCTGAGACCAGCTTCTACATTGCAATGTTTGAAAAATTAAGAGCCACCTAATAATCAACTGTTGGAGACACGCCCAGGGGTTATTGCAAAGTAGCCATTCGCTTTGGCTGCGGATTGTATATTTGCAGCCACTATTGTACCTTCTAGATCCACTGTGGCTTCTTCTTCCAGTCTTAGGAAGTCATCCTCCAGGGTTGTCATGCTAACTCCGTAATGGATAATTCCCTGGTTGGAGAAGCTGTTGAGGTCACTGAACAGATCTGCAGGACAGAGATAACACAAGTGCCTTCAAGGGTTCAAACATGAGCATGTATCTCCAGACCAGACTTTGGGTAAGCTGAGTCAACCTGACTGGAGCATCTCCAGTCACAGAGAAAATGATAAAGCAGCGAGCTGCTAGGATATGAAGGGTCTGCAGGAACAGAAAACTGCCAGATTCATGGCTCTTTGAAGAGTTTTTCTATTTAGCACCAGCATTTCTGACTAAGTGACCTCTGAGGCAGCAGGGCTATGAGGCTGTCCAACTCAACATGACTAGTGCCACTGCAGGCATGGAGCGGTACGGGTCTTATGGAGTTATCTCGTCACTTATCTTCCCTTTTAACAGAAAGAACAATAAATTCCCCGTAACACATGTAGCCCAGTTTGGCTTGTGAGCTTTTTCATTGCAAACAGTAGAAAAGCATTTGTTGTACATGTTGATCTTCAACGTATGGGTGCTAAAATTGTAGGGGGGAAAACCAAAATGCAACAGTCCTAAAGTCCTTATGTGACTCCTGTAGGAAATCTCCCTCTTCATTTCTCTTCCCCCACATTTGTGATTACTTTTTCTCTACGGACAATTCTCAAGTGTTTTAATATACATTACCTGGGAATTTGTTCACGTTTTCTAAAGGCAGTATATATCTCAGCTCAAGTTGACTGTGTCCTGAGAATATGAGGTTGGGGATGTACCATTTAACCAGAGATTTCATGTTCTTGAAGTCACAAGATTCAGTGCCGTGGATCCTGTTCAGTGGAGAAAACAGATGGTCAGTTTTGAAAAAAACACCAAAAGCAAAACACAAAAACCCCATTGTATTTGCTACGCCACAGAAAAACAAAACTCCGGCATACTTCATTAATTCCTCACTCTGGAGTAAAGTGCGAATTTGGCTGAATACTAATTCAGTTCATTTTCCTGTTTTGACAACATCTGTTCTACGATTTCCCTCTTACAGCCGTTCTGGTGGCTCCTTGTACGTGCACATTCCCAGACACCAGTTGTTGGGGCTGAAGCAGATACCTTAAATGATAGCCAATCCCCCACTTTTTCTTCAAGAACAGAGAAGAACCAACACACTTCAGCTGCCCGTGTGAGATAAAAGCCTTGTGGTCTAAAGAAAAAGTGAGGCTGGACAATTAAAATCAGCGAGGCTGCTAACCCCAATCCTGCTTTCTCCACAGCAGTAAATTTTGTGTATGTATGCGCGTTTTTTTTTAACCCTGTAACTGAGGTGGTACCTGCGAATCCTGTTCTAGTGATGCAGGTAACTAATCTTTATACATTCTTCCTTGTGTGGCTCAAATTGGTAAACAAGAAAGATTGCTTTCAGTAAATCATTTGCTGACTGAACTTTAGAGTACCGCTGAAGAAGTATTTGCAAGTCAAATTTAAAATAGAAAATCAGTAAAAACTGAACAGAATAGTGATCAGTTGCATCAATTAGTATTTTACTTAAATTTTCAAGCAATGCAAGTGTTGTTATATTTCTTTGACTGACTGAAATGTTTGCACATCTGGTTTTCCTCCTCTTTAACAGGAATCAACATTCAGCTTTCATACCTCTTAAAGCTTCTGTCTTCTTGTCTTTCTTTTTATATGATTTTTTAACATTGTTGAGTCTTAAAGGAAGGTAAGGAGGATATTATTTCTGGATTCCTGTAAATATATTTCCCTAGTGCCCTTTTTCATTCTTATGGGTCTTAATTTAAAATGACAGAAGTGGCATGAAAAGTAAGAGGTACTGGCAAGCGACCCTGAGATTCAGTGGGGTTTGGCATGCTCTGTGCACAGGCGTGAACATCACTACTCAGCCTTGCACCAAGCCTTGCAAAGACAAGGTCAAGCCCGTTGCAACAGATGGTTGTTTTGCAATGGGCTGCCCTCTGTGTTCTCCTTGTTCTGCCTAATGGACATTGAAGAAAGTCCACAGCAAACCCCCTTGTTTTTTAAAATTCTGAATTTATCCAAATTTCACTATGAGTGACCAGCCTGAACAAGCTATTTATCTCATCTGCATCTTATTTATAATTTAAGGATATCTGGTAAGCTGTGTCTGTGTAATAAAATACTCTAAAGTCCTTCTTAGTGGTTTGATCTGAGTTTCAAATCAGATCTTTTGTAGCCAACCTACTGCCTGTCAGACCTTCAGCCTGTAATTCAAATCACTGTTGCTGAGTCAGAGAATCCACTCAGCTATTTCTATTAGTATGACCATGCAAAGGGTAGAGTCCTGAGCACTGTGGAAAAGGCTCTGGAGTAATATCCAGGCTCATCAACATGGTAGTAAATCATGTGGTGAGAAAATTTGGCTTTAAAACCTGACTTACACATGCTAGACCATACAGGAAAAACAGCAGTAAGACTGCAGGGAAGCTGTTGAGATGGAAAGGGTCCTGCACCACGAGAGCTGGCAGCATGCAGGAGAGGACCAGCGCATGAACAGCATACAGCAGACTCCAGGAGAGCCTGGGGATGGAAAGGTGGCATTACACATTCGTTTAACTAAGAGTGGTTGTTACAACTTCATCTGCATGGCAGAACCATTTAAAACATGAAGTATTCCCCAGCGTCAACTCATTCATACTCTGTGAAGAACAGGTAGCATGGCCCACCTTAGGAGGAAATACTCAAGGAAGAAGAATATGCTGCAGTCATGCTCAACCCTTCTGGCTTGTTCTTAGAGTACTGGAGAAAACTTATGAACTCATTTAACTTCTTAACTCATTGCACAAATACCCAAGAGTATACTGATTTTTGGCAAACAGACAGCTTTAGTTAAAAAAGAACTCACCAAAATGCAATATCCTGCAGCTCCATTGTCTTCATCAATATTTTGACCTTCTTATTTTCTCTTACAACATTCCTCGACAAGAAATACATGAATGGAGTGAAACACATCACAATACTAATAATGGAAACACTGTACTGTAGTGTGATCGAGGAGATGACACTCCGGGACTTCACACGGACACCAGCAATTGATTTCATTTCTTCCCAAACAGAATGATTTGTCACCACCTAAAGGAATTCAAGGTCAACATCTCAGTATTTAGTTTATTTTCTAGAGCAAGATGTATTTATACAAGGAACTTCCTGGTTTGTCAGCACTAGATTTTGTTTTTAATGCTGCTTTATAGAAAGCATCAACACGTAATGCGATAAAGCCCTGTGGGAAGGGCTCGCTTGTGTGCCTGCAGCCCAGCTACACTCCTCTCCCTTGTCTATCGAGAGAGATCAATCCTTCAGCTCACCCAGAGCTCCCAGGGTCCCACTTCTCTCCCCAGGTGTGAAAGCAGCCTGGAGAGCTGGAGGTGCACAGCCAGCTGGAATGACCGCTGCCTTGCTGTACTTCCGAGGAACGATTTGGAAAGGAAGGACAAGAAGCAACAGACATGCCTCCTTTGAAAGGAAGTCATCCATCAGATGTGCACACCACCCCAGTCTCCTGCAGAAACTGCCTTTTCCCTGGGATCTGAGAAATACTCTAAACCGAACAGTGGGATCACGCTTCGTTCCCAGCCTTCAGGAGAAATCCTCACTTTGAAGAGAAACAAAACTCGGTACAAACCTTCAAAATTAAATTGAAAGCAGTCATTTTCTGCAGGAACCGCTGATTGCAATGAGCTTCCCACTGTCGCTGCCAGTAATACTCAGCTGAGTATTTCAAGGAGACTGTGAAGTTAAACTTGTAATTGCTTGGTCACTTTTTCACCCAGCAGAAGCAAAGTGTAAGACAGCGTGGAGCACCCGTGTGCATTTCCACAGCTGAAACGGGATTTGCGTCGCAGCTAAAGCAGGTGTCCAGATTGTCCTTCATTTGAACGGACACAGGATAATCTCGGCAAGCTGGCACATGGCTGCAGTTTCAGCTTCACATCCAGGAAACCCCGGGTGGGATGGAGAGCCGGTGCCTCAGGTACCCGTTGGGGATGTCCCACGTGTCCTCCCTCCCCGTCACCCCTCGATGATGCCTGACCCCCAGCCACGCTGCTGCAGGGTTTGGGCAGCTGGGGGAACCTCGGCAGAACCAAGCTCGTTGCTCCTTCAGTATTTCAGGGGAAAGTTTTAAGAACGTAAGGTGGACAGATGTGCTGGATTACTTAAAATACTGAGCTGAACCTACCTCATCCTCCTAGCACCAAGAAACACTGGAAATACACCTCTGCTGTAAACTGAGCCCCATTGGTGTGTTATTTCACATCAAAGTAAGGTTAAAAAGACTCTACAACCCTTATATAGTCACTAAGCTTAATCACAGGCTTAACTCAGCCTGATAGAAAGATGCCCAGTGTCCCACTTATGCATATTCTCACCCAGTATTATTAATGGTGTTATTAATTACTGGATGTTTTCATACCTTTTAAATAACAATTTTTTTTAAGAAGAATGTTTAAGCCTTACCTTGATGGGAAGGTTTAAAAGGAATCCAGAGCCTGTCCTTTGCAGCCTGTAAAAGCGGAGATGCTGAGGGTCCCTGGGCTGGCCTTGCCAGTTGTCCCAGTGGCTCTCAGTGCTCCTTTGTCCACGTCCCATTTTTTTCCCCTCAGGCACTCCTGCCAAAAGGCATTCCTCACACCATCACTTCGCTTTTCCCTGGCTTCCCCCCCCCCTTCCTCCTTGGCAGATCTTCAGATTTATTTATGTTATAAAAAGCAAAAAGAGCATATTGTTGTTAAGTTGCTGGAGCAGATTCTCTGAAAACTTACTCAGGAAATTCTTGAGTCTTGACCAAGAGAAGAAAAATGAGCCCAACAAGAAACCACACAAAAATCCTTTCTCCGGAAAACTCTGTTATGTTCCTCAGTGCAGCACGAGAGGCTGAAGTCAACAGAAATACTACGGCACGCTGCTGAAGGCGGAGGAGTGAACGGTGGCAAAGGTTGTGTTTGCAAACTGTCTCTGTGCCACCAGCTCCGGTGCAGGGAGAGCCGTGAAGCACTGCCTCCTTCATAGGAGCAGCTCTTCTGATTACAAAACCTACTGTAAAAATTAAAATTAACTTCTCTTGACTAACTCTGTGCTTCTAAAGGGAACAGGTTTGATTTCATCCCCAGGCTGTGCCTGCCCCTCCATCGCCCACTGCAGCATCCCCTGCCGCAGCAAGGATGAGGAACCAACGGTGGAAGAGAAAAGCAACCAACCAGGACCCAGGTTGGGCTTGCAAACACGGAGGAGCAGGATCTGCTTCCTTTTGCTCTGTCTAGCAGAAAAAAAAACACTCCTAACATTTAAATAACATTCAGATGTTCTAGAGCTAGGCAGACTTCGGAGGCGTGATAAGTCAGGACACAGAATCAAGTTAAGACCTGTCCCCAGTGCATCTCCTAGGTGTACAAACCTTCTCCTCCCCTTTCAGCCCCTCCTCACAAAGAGGAAAAAAAAATATCCAGCAGAGAAGTGGATATGCGAGGTCTTATTCAGTGAATCTCAAGCAAAGACACTTCCCTGCCCGTCTCCTTGACAGAGGCACTGATGTTTGGTGATCCATATGGAAAGCAGCTCTCTGCGTGTGTGAGGTGGCTGCTTTGGGGGCTTTTTCTGGCAGGAATTACCCATCACCGAGCAACAGCACCAGCTGGCTGCTACCTGCTCGCCTGCATCCCTGCCTGCATTGCCTACACACACGTCTGGGGCTGCGTAATCCGCCTGCATCACCCACGCCTGCAATCCCATACCATGCCTGCATCACCTGTACCTGCATCAGCAGCATCATCTCCTCAACCAGGGGAGAGCGTGGCATGGGTGAGAGTCTTGCTGCTGTGCCTGTCCCGTGGCATGGCACTGCCCCTGTCCTCCAGCAGGTCCCCACCCCAGCATTTTGCAGAGGCTGGGGGTGCTGGGGGACAGGGTGAGAGGGCACCAGGGGAAACACTTGGCTGCTAGAATGCAGGGAGTTTCTATTTTATTTAGTTTTTTCATTTATTTTTTAAAGCTAGCCCTGGAAGGCAGATGTCCAGGAAGAGACACTGATCTGCTCAGACAGGGTCAGGGTGCTGGTTCTTGCCCCCATCTCCCCACCAGTGCCCCCATCCTTCCCAAGCACCCACAGAGGGTGGGTGCTAGCAAGAGCCCACCCTGTCTTCCTGACCATCAAAGCAAGCCAGACACATGCTGTGGCCAGAAGACCTATTCAACCTATTGTCCTACTCCAGCTTTACTCTGAGTCAAAGCACATCTTATTTTGATAATAATTATTTTTTGAAAGACGGTGATCTAAGAGCTGCCAGTTTTCATTAAACTTTTCCAGGCTTTGCTGAGCCCTTTCCTCTCTCTGTGTCCCCAGTGGTGGGGACCAGAGGTGGGCCAAGGTGGCTGAGCTGGAACACAGAGCGACAGCAGATTTTGGGGTCAAAACACAGCCCTGCACCCCTCCACCAGAAAGGACCACCCTCGCTGGCTGTGTGACACCTGCAGGCAAGATGCTCCTCGGGACTGAGCGAGGCAAAGCTCTGGTGTCCTCTTGCCATGGATGAGTGAGGGTTGCAGAGCTCCTCTGAGTCTGCACATGATTCTCTCCAACAACCGAGCCCCCCACACACAGCTGCAGTCCCAGCCTTGCTGCCCTGGGACTAGAAATTCAGGGTTATTCCTCATCACAGCGAATCTTCCCGAGTCAGTCTGAGCAGGGGTACAGATGAACGGCAGGTGGATAAAGGCTTTATTTATTAAAATAATAAATCTATTTCTCTTTGTGAGGCAGAAAACCTACAAGGCTGTATGTGATGCGGCACAGGTAACCAAGTCCTAGGGCTGCATTTGATCACACGTATCAGTAACACTGATGAAATACACTGAACATTTTCCTTTGTTGCTGCAAGGGCTCAGGGGTGAAGTGGTCGCCGCTCCACGGCCCCATCAGATGCTGCATCCAGGTCATGCTCCTCTGGGTCCTGGGTGAGGTCTACAAACACCTGCAATGCAGAGAAATGACCCTGTTGTTGTCAAGGACTGACAGTATTTACACCTTTTTATAAAGGTAGTTTCTAACCTGTAACTTCTACATCAACCTACCTGTTGCAAAGTGTGCAGTGACAAGCTGTACTCCTCAAGCCTGAAATTCTGTTTAGCTGTGGAGGGATGGAAAAGGCATCGTTAAAAAACAAATCCATATGAGCAACATGAAAGCAATCTTCAAACTTCATTAATTATTTTCTTTTACCTGCTTCTAGCTTGGAGAAAGACTGGGACAGAGGTAGTGCATCTTCTGTTGGTATCTTGTAGACGAGCAAAGAAGAAGTCCTGAAAAAGCAATAAAAAAATGAGTTGATCATTTCGTCACTCAGCACCAAGGATTAGGGGTGCTTGCAGGGTTCCTGTACTCCCAGGTGAATCACTGCACAAGGTCAGTAAGAGCACAAGTCCGGGCTGGGTGTGCAGCCCACGGGGTAGTGACCTTTCTTGCCGAGCTGCATGTGGGAAGAGGCGCAGAATTTCGGCGTGGAGCACATCGCTTTGCCCCGTGTCTGTCATTTTGACTTCTAGGTGGTAACTTGTGCCAAACTTACTCTTCAGATCCTCAAGGGAACCGATGTACCTGCAGAGGAGGGAAAGCAGTTCTGAAGTCATCATAACCAGCAAACAAAGCAATCACTGGATATGAGCAGCAGATGTACGTCCTCTTATTCATCATCAGTTTATACTGTGCTGCTGACACAACCTACCTCCTCACAAAACGGTGTTTGTTACACACTTAGGACAAACCAAACCTACATTTTCTATTAGATAAGAATAAAAAACAAACAAACAAGGCCAAAAAAAGCCCCCAGACTAAAAATCACGTGGCATCCCGGTGAGCGATGAGACCCTGGTGCCCACCGTAGCTGCCCCGACACCAGGATGGCCATCCGGTCGCACATCGCTGCTGCCTCCTCCAGGTACTGCGTGCTGAGGATGGCTGCCCGCTCCTTGCCTTTCATGATGGTCTGAATCACTTTCCTGGGAACAGAGGGATGGAAGTTACTTCCCAGGAACAGCCAAAGAAAATCTCCTGGTTTGCATCTCCCTCCCAAAAGCCAACTGAAATGATAAGACTATAAAAAAGTGGATGGCTGTTTAAACCACTTCGGTTACTTTGCTTGAAGATAACGTGAATGCCAATGCTACATTGCAATTTGCCATGTAAGAATCCCTCGAAATTTTACACTTTCGTTGTAAACTGTTCATGAAAAGCTAGAGCAAGCACTAGGGCTGAGTGATGAAAAAGAACAACTACCTATACTTCTTTCTCATGCTCTGATGAACCAGGAATTTTTCACTTTTGTACCAAATGCATAGGTTCAGCTGGAATCCACTCATAATCTTTTGGTGCACTACCATGAAGATTACATCTGGTGGTCAGCAAGGGCTTACTGTCTGCAGAGTAAGGAGTTTAGTGAGTGGTACCCCATCCCCTATGCATTAGGAAAAAGGGAAAATACAGATGTACATTGCCACCGAGGCAGAACCCCTTTGCCCGCCCGATGGTTACTACAATAGGGAGGGTAAGACCCATCTTCTGAAATCTGTTATACGCTTCCCAGTTCTACTGGAACAGGGCTGCTCACCACATGCGGCGCTGCCCTTTCAGGTCCATGCCCACGGATGGCTCATCCCAAAGCATTATCGTCGCATCTCCCAGGACGCTCAGCGCGAAACACAGCTGAAATGGGAAAGACACCGAGGTCAGGTCAGGTCAGGTCTGCTTTTACTTTGCCTGCAAAACTGGCGAGTTGTCCTGCTACATCTTAAATCCTGTTAATCTTCAAGAAGGTGAAGCTCTTGATTCCAAAATTCAAGAGGAACAAGCATTCAAAAAAAAACACCTCAGGTGTTCTTAGTTAACATTTTAATCTCCCAAAACCAGCTTTGCCCAAAACTCCCAAGCCTGCCAAAAATCTGAAAGTGGTTTTCATCCCATTTACTGACAGATGCATGTGGTGGGCTATGAAGCGGCGATTACCTTGTAAATCCAATTTGTGGTTAGCATTTATTAAACACACAGTGCGCGAGAGTGGGGATCCGGCCAGCCTGGATTCAAAAGCTATTCATGAAAACAAATCATGCCAGCAAGCCACTCTGCTGTATCTGCTTCTGTGTTAGAAGGAAGAAACCCTTTGAACCATAAGGATCTTCCATGATAACATCAAATT